TTGCAAGTAAAATTTGGTTTACTGTTTTTTGGTACTAATACTATTTTATTCTATTCCTAAATCAAGAGTGTTCAAAAATAAAGGAATCAAAAATGCAATTCTTCCTATTGCATTTCGTGACTCACCTCATTTAATTGGGTTCATTTTGCTCAACTAACTTCCTGATCTGGTAATTTTCTTCCTTACTGAAGAGAAGAAAACCGAGTTTTGAAATATACAGCTACATACCGAGTATAAAATGAGGCTTTCATAAATTTTCCCGCACTTTAGCAGAACTTGCGATATTAATGATAAGTTTTGATAATAAAACATATTCAACTACATCAGAACCATAAACAACTTCGTTGCCCTAATTTGAAGGGATCCTCATTGAGGACAGCGAAGAGAGTGAAAATGATCGTGTTTATTTTAAGTGCAAAAACGACGAAAGCTAGACTTTTTTAATTCTCATTGCATATAGTTATTATCTCAAGCAGTAAATATTATGGAAGACATATTTGACATACTTAAGTTTCCAAAGCATAATGGCAAGTGATTATGCGTAAAATAATAATGAGACACTAATTTTCCAGCATTCAGAAAAAGATTCATTGTGATTCATGATTATTTCAATGTGCTTAATACAGACGAAAGTTTTTATTTCTTGACGATATTACAATCCAGACATCTAAAATAATTTAGACATGTGTTTACTTGGACTTCTGGTTCGATTTTACTTTTTTCTTTGCAAAGAGTTCAAAAACTTGTACACATAACTTTCATACACTTAGTACTTAGTTTGAGGAAGAAGAATTAATTTTGATGAAATATTGTTTTGAAACAGACAGACAGTAAGGTTTTAGCCTCCGACACAATGAGAATTGATAAAATTTTCAAGTTTTACAATAAATTTTGTGTAGTCAGATCAAAGCTTGAGTGCCACAAATTCTCGCACTGAAATGTCAATAATCTCTTTTTACAAATAACATATGTTGGGAAAATATAAAATATAAGTGATTGGGTCTTTCGGTTGATGCTACAGTTATGAGTTCCAATAATATCGCCACCAAATATTGCTTTCTTACAATAGCAAAATAAAATAACTACAATTTAGTAAGACTTTTAAGTTATGGAGAAAAGCTTCCTGATATCATTCAAATTTAATTATGTCTGCTGAAGATCAGAATTAATTTTTCCTTGAATATTCTTGATTAGTGAGAAAAATATCGTGCAAGAGAACAAATAAAAAATGGCATACAAATGAAAATTTAATAATTGATTGTAACAAGTAATTTTTTTTGACAGTTTTTCCATAATGCCATACAAAATTGGAACATTTTCATTTCATTTGGCAAGTTATGAATGATTAATAATGTTACAATGACTACTTTTTTCATTGTATGTAAGAGTCTTTGAAAATGAATACCTCCTTTATATAAATCACAAGTTCTCAATAATCATTCAGTCTTCCAAACGAATTAGCAGGAGTATGAATCGTGCAAGTATTTTATCAACCTATATGATATTTGCAGGATGGACGACACTTAAAATTACTGAAAATGTTGCATACTTAATATAAAATAATTTCTTGAAGTATGCTGACTACAAATATTTTTGTTGTTCTGCAGTATTTGTCCTATCTTATGAACTCTAACTTCAGTAAAAATAGCTACAGCGGAAATCCAAATGTATATTTATTGTTCTTTTTACAGGTAGGGAAAGTTTGCTAATGCAGAAAAGACGACAAAATCACATCTTGTTTCCTATTCCTATTTAGTTGATTAATGAAGCTATATTTGAGATTTTTCAGTGATATTCTAGAAAGAGAGAGTAAGCTATGATTCGTCCCAAAGTAAATGTTTTTTGATTGCTTACACTTTGGGCAGCAGATAGATCTAAAGCAATTATAATATATTTTTAATATATGACATTTTTAATGTTTTGCACAAATCTGTGGTTTTCAGAACACTATTTTATCAGCATTATTTTGCTTGTTATTGGTTATTATTACGTGATTAATATTGCTTAATATATGTTAAGCAAATCATTTTGCTTAAGGTAATAAAAAGTTAAACAACTCTGTCGATTCAGGTACTAATTCTAGTAGACCAATGCTATTCCTCGGTCTAGAAACTTATTTTTCAGCATATTCTCTTCATTAAATATGAGCTATAAATTTTCAAAATATTCAGTCAAAAATGTAATATTTGATTCAGAAGACGAATGACGTACTGACTTAGAGGATCCTTTAGAGAAGAGAACATAAAGTATTAAGGAATTCTTTGAAAAATGCTAAATGAAATAAACGTGCGATAAATAGAATTTAGCTATATGAAAATATTTAACTATGATATGTCTTTGAAGATATGTGCGATTAAGAATGGCGGTGATGATCATATATAGGAATGTAAGAGGACCATGCGCTGAATGTAAAAAAAGGTTGGGTGAACAATTTAAATTGCAAGGAATAAAAAAATGTGTAATTCTGGACGTCATAAAATTAGTAATTTTCGGAATAGCTGATATGCGCTTAAAACGTTTGAATTTTTAAATGGTTTGTGCGCTTTACTGTGAAAAGCTATACGTTATAACTTTTACATCTAAGGGAGAAACAGTACTTTTAAAGAATTTTTCGGAGATGCACCGCATTTTTGCACACAATTAAACACTCAAAAATATCATATTGATACATAGCGGTTACTGAAGCTTATCAACAACTGCTGCTAATGCAACTGCTCTCCACATGCTCACATAACAACAGTTTTAAAAATCCGCCTTGAATGCTCATTCAAAGTCAATGGTCTCATGAAAGTTACCTTCGGTTGATCGCACTGCACTATACTGCACTGCTTTGCCACCAACACAACAAATCAGTTCATTACAATATTGCAGAAAACTAAACTATCTGTAGAAAAATGGCGTAAATTGGCGTAAATTAGAAGGTGATGTGCAACAACAGTATGTCCTGAAAATATTTAAATTTTTGATCAATTTAATGGTTTCAGAAAAAGTAATTAGGTGTTTAAAATCAATGAGATCGACGCCACTACACGCCGTCGGAATTAAAGCGATCAAATAAATAAAGTCGATTTACCACTCTGTAATTGCTGATGCTACTTTTATTCCATATAAGTTGAATCTTTCATATTAATTAAAGAGTGTACTACCATTGTCACTGTTACTATTGTTGCTGTTCATATTTCTGTAAGCAATGAAGCATATCAAAGAACAAGCTGCCTGAGGACTATTGTTTTCCAAATTCTACATTCAAGGTGCTACAGCAATAAATTGAATGAAAAAGGATTTGCCAAGCATGAAGACCTAATGCATTGTTCTAATACATTTTGCTGCTGTCAATGTTGCCTTCTTCATAAAGCTCTGTTTTATGCTTGTTCACGCTAAACAATACAAGCGCAACAAATCCTTGACAATATTGCTACCTAGTATTAGTAAACGCACTCAGTAACACATTACCGCTTCTCCTTCTTCTGCGTTTCACATAATTTTCAGGAACTAAAAAGCTATCTTGAAAATTGTAAAAAACTTTTCGTAGCATAAATAGAGCAAGTCATTTCATTAGTTTTGATGCAAACTTCTTTCCGATCTTACATTAGCACCACGGCTAATCGTCTGTAGTTTCATTAAGTCGCCTATTTAGCGAGTTAGAAAAAAAAAAAACTTGTAACGATATTTTTTGAGCCCTTAAACATAGTAATAAAACTTGAGTGACAAATAGATGAACGTTTCCAACACAGAAGTGGAAAGATTTAAAGAAGACACAGTACACCTTACTTTATCGTTACTTCCTTCTGTGTACTTGTATATCATCTATCTATGATGATATATTTGAGTGGAAGCGAAAAGCTGGTACAAATAGTAATCATAACAATAATACTAATAAGAATACTGTTATTCAAAAGAGACAAACAGTTGCCACTAAGACACATTTCAATTTACAACAAATCTTTTTCAATTTCCTCAACCTCCCGTTCCTCCTGATACTCACTCTTTTGCTGGGCGGAGACTTAGAAGACTTTGACAACAAGTGACGTCGTTATTATACGATCACATACCGAACTACCGCCTACGAACCTACATCGTTAAGTACTTTCAATAATTTTTTCCAGAAGTTTCAGTTGAAATTTGTTGAACTGACTGCACAGACAGCAAAGCATGTGCAGGACGTATACAAACAGTGAAGGCAACAGTATATAAAATCCAGAATGTGATCACTGGGACCAGAAAAGATTTTGCTGATCGTCGCCTGAATCGTTCATGTGGAAAGTGATCGTTTCGTTCATTCACAAAAAAGTCACTTATTCCGTCATTTTTTGATGTTCACTTATAAGAACTCATGAGCAGTAATACATAGGAATATCTCTTTTGTATACTACAACAGCTGACAAAAATATGATGTTAAAAGACTTCATTTTAATAACTAATCCAAGTTCGTCATAACTTTTTCTAAAACAAAATTTTTCATTATGAATTCAAACCATTACATCAGTTGCTGGATTAAGTTGTGCAAACACTTTTTAAAACATTAATAGAATATCGTTCTCTTTTGAATATAATTAAATAGTTATTGGAAGAGTGGTAGACTTGCTTGCTTATAAAAGATCAAAAAAGTTTTCCCTGTGATTGTTGCAAAAATATTTTTATTTTCTTGTATTATGAGAGCTCATGAAAAATAAGTTGGATTCACAAGAAACTTTCCAGAAAAAAGTTAAAATAACTTTCTTGTTAAGAACAGGTCAACATGAATATTTCTGACATGAAAACTATTCACGCTGAGCGAAATGATTTTTAATGCCACACATGTATACTTATATTTATTTCTATTTGTACTTATATATTTGTATTTATGTTTTTAAGCCATGTATAAACTCAGTAAAATCTATATCCACTTTTTAATGAAATATTTGCTGAATATATGATCACATTAAATATTACATTCATTCCCTACTTCATTGTATTTGACATTAAATAACTGAGCGATACAAAAGGAAAATTTTTCATCCATGATTTTCTGGACTTATAGATTTGTTAAAGCTCGGAATGCAGAAAGGTAACCCTAACAGGGCAGAACAAAATAGAATTGTTCCAACACTGAAAAGGACCATTCATCGGCAGAGTAAGGCATTAATTGTCGTTTCGGGATTATATTTGATCGCAGAAGCGTGTAAGCACGAACAATGCTGATGTGTGCAGAAACGATCATCATCCTTCAACAAATTGCCTTTTTCCATATATACTTTTATATCTTCCCTCAACAATGCTTTAATGAGCTTCACTTAATCAGCTTGCAATCTTTCATTACCTGTAATTATCCATTTTGAATTTTTTCAATACCTTATTAATTCAAATTTAAAATATACACCAGTTGTCAACAACGTTTCGTGAAAATTCATGACTTAAATTCAGGAACATAATAAAGCCGAACAACTGAACAAGGTATCAAACAGCGTTTTCTGTTTCTTTAGTTAATTAAGGTGAAGCGTTTTGCACAAAGAAGCCTATGTGATGTCTTGCTTCAAGTGTCCAATGCAAAGCTAGGAATCATCTAGGATGATGCTTCCTATTCTTTTTAATATTAATTTAGATTTCAACTTATATTAACCTGTGTTTGTCCACCTTCCGAGTGATATATATATATATTTGCCTTTGACTACAGTGAAATAAAAAGCATCACAATTTCAGCACATAGTTTCCCAAAAAATTAGTTCACTTTCTCCTTAGCAGTCCGACATTTCAGCGGCCATGTATATTTATAGGTACATCTCGTATATACAAGTCAGAGAAGCAGAGGATACTATTGGCACTATCTTGGAAGTACCGCAGCTGGGAAAGAAGGAAATGAAATCAATTATCTTCGCCAGTCCAGAAATGCAATGATTGCAGAAGTCCAGAGGTTACGGTAGGTGGAAATCATCTGATTTCTGTCTTCTGACGTTCGGTGGCTAAAGAATGACAGAGAGATTATTAATGCAACCTAGAAATAGTTAGGAGAGGAAAGAGTATTTTAAAGGAAGTCAATTAGCGGTTGGCTGGTTGAAGCAATCTTTATTAGTGGTCGAATGTTCCGGTCTGGTTTTCCTGTTCTCTTCCATTACATCCCATTCCTTATAATCCTGTTTGTATAATTCATGCTTCAGTACACAATTCATGTTATGTATTGTACTGTTCATGAGCTGATTATTGGTATCCATGCGTTTACTATTACTCACATTTATTTGCTTTGATGGATTTATAGTCAAATGGCTTCGAATAACAGTTTGAATGAGTGAATTATTTCTTATTTTAAGTTGTGATTAAAGGAAAAGAAAATTCTACTTTGATCTGTGTTCTATTGTGTTCCCACGTTCTATCAACAAGAATCAATGCGAAGGATGATTTATCCAAAATAAATTCGATTGTTACAATTTTCAGGAACAATTTCTTATAGTGAAATTAAAAATTTTGTATTTTTTTCAAACTTGCTTATGAGAAGAGAAAGCAAAATCAAAACGAAGATGCTGGTTGAACAACAAATATTACAAAAAGAAAGATAATCAATTCATAAGACTTTTAGCAGAAATTTACATTTCTAGTGTTGTAAAACTGGAATACATGAAAGGCTCGGGTCGGAAATGGGTCTGGTGACATGTTAGGGAATAGCACTATTATTCTAACACATCTCATATTTACTACAGTATCCTTGAAAAGTGTCAGGATAAAAAATGAGATGCACGATGAAAAATAGGCTCACGGAAAAAAATTCATATTCATGCAATGGCCAATTTAATGCTTCAGTGAATCCTTTACAAACTATCTGATGCTCACGCAAAAGGGGATTGCAGTGCTGATGATTTTGAAAATCGTAACTTTCTTCCATCGACCCTTTCCTTCTTCCTTTCTAAAAACAGTTAAAACAGATATTTCCGTCTTCCCGAGCTTTTTGTTTTGTATTTGCGTAGCAGTTCAATTTTTAATAAAAGTTAGACGACTTTTTGTAAGCTAACATTTGCTTATAAAATAATGCTTAAATTAATATCTTTTCCTAGTTTTTATCTACTTCGTAGTGCACAGTTTCAACCTGCTGTAATAAAGTCATATTTGCACGACAGCTCACCATGCCATGTTAAAGCTAAACAACTTCAAAGTTGTTTTCATTTTTAATTATTCATGTGTTAAAATCTAATATTATAACTAACATAGTAATGAAGACATTACCTGGCTCGAATATATATGATTTTTGTAAGCCTGACGATGAAACTGTTTAAAATAAAATGTTTTATACAACAATTTTATAGAAATAAAATTCAGAAAAAACGATAGAGCTGATTGGAACAGTAGATAATACTGAAGATTAAATAGCTTCAAATTAATTGACTTGTATATATATCATTCCTTCTGAAATCAATTACTGAATTTCTGAATAAATGTTACTAAATATCAGAATTTTATTTAAGCTCGACAAAAGAAAGAATAGACAGAAACAAAAAAATAGTCAGAAAAAAGAAAAACAAAATCTATAAAATATTCCAAAAAAAAAAACTTCACATATAAGGACAGAAATTAAAAATTCATTTGTAAATTTTGTGCGAATTTAATTGGTAGAATAATGAAGTTACTGTAATTATCATTAATGCAACATTTTTGGCATTAATAAAGTTCTGTTCCATTCTATCTGTCATTTACATTTCTTTCTAAATTATGGGATCGAATAATTCGCTACTAAAAAGGCTATTTCAAATATATATTTAAAATTATCACCCACTGCATTTCGCAGGTTTTCTCTAACAGACTCTGTCAATTCAATCAAGCTCACATTCTGCAGTCTCATCGTTTTCCTCAATGTACTCCTTATGTCCTATAAATGGCTAAGTAGATTTCAAATCTAAAGAAAGTAGCCAGACATAAAATAATTGAACAACTGAATAAAATTCATGAAGCAATTAGTGATAGAAGTGATCTTTCATTGGTTTAGTATTGGATGGAGAAAATGATGACGGTTGGACAATGCCTAGCTATGTTTTGCTATTATTTTAAAAGGTAATAAGCCTATTACAAATGGAGGACAAAATGGTCCTACTTTGCAAATAAAGTTTCAAAAGTTCTATAAAAAATTTCGAAAAAAAATTGCGCCGGACTGAAAAGTGCACAATGACAATAATTATTACACAGTAACAATTGCATACTCCAGCTTTAGTCTATTTATGTAACATTTAATGACAACAATTTTGTTATTCTGTGAAGCTGTAGATTCATTTCGCAAATTCTTATGACAGCTATATATATATTCCAAATTCGAAATTCTTACCACTCTTGTCTTGCAAGAGTACCATTCTCATAATTTCTTTTTCGTGAAGACATTCTACAATAATTTCAAGTTGGTAAGCAACAGTTTTTGTGCTGAAATTATAAAACAATTGCATAATCTTATTTTATTCTGCAAATAATTCTTTCGTTCCAATGATGTTAGTAAAAAAACTAAATTATTTTATATGCATAAACAAGTTTATTTGTGTTATGAATTGGTAAAGAAAGTATGCTCTGCCTTGATGGTATTTTGCTTCCGTCAGTAAAGCTTCCAGTTATTTAAAAATTATTTCTGTTTAATATCTTCCTGTAGTTTTTCAAAATAGGGGATTTATTGTTTACTGCCCTATGAATTGATACCAGTTAAGTAATTTTTAGAAACATTAATAATTTAGGTACTCGATAGAGCCTTCGATTTACTGTAAACAGCATGTTTCAATGCAACCTGAATGATGTAAAATTTTCGCTTTTAACTGAAAAATTCCAAAAGCAATCTGTTACTTCATTTAATTTCTTCATTCTATCTAGTTTAATTCTACAAAAATTACTCACAGTTAAAATCTTTTATTGAATGATAACGGATCTGCGATAACATTTTCTTGAGAAGAATCCTTCAACTCCATTAATTTTGTTTCCTAAACGATAAGTCACTTTTTTATGCGCTACCACTTTTACAATCAACTTACTTGAAATTTCAGATTAAGCAGATAAGAGTTATTTTTTGGCAGTGAAATTGTACTGATAATCTCAATATGACCAGTTTTAGAAATGAATTTATCCTACCATTATCAAACCGCCCTACTTAATAACAGAGGTTAGATGACCTTGTAAACTGTTTTGTTTGAAACTAGCGGAAGCACAAGCACACAGTACTTCGATGTTGTTCACTCTTGGTGATAAGCTGTAACTTATAAGCATTTCTATTCTTATATGTACATTGCCTGATAACAACACAATATATATGTATACAAGCTCTATAATCATATTTTAGAGTTCAATAAATTGAATTACAATGCTAATGAAAAGCGTGGGGAATTACTAATCTATTCTTCTTTCTTATGGTGAGTTAGTTTTAAAATAAATTAAAAAACTTTTTTTCATGAAATTAAATTTAGAAAGTTTTCTTTCACGAAATAAAATTTAACATGAGTGCCCTTAACATTTGACTTTTCAATCCTTTCTTGCAAAGCATTATATTCCACATATAACTGTTAACTACTGCTTCGCATCACTTATGTTATACTGACGACTAATCTTTTCTAAATAGAGAATTGCAATAATAGTTAAATATAACATCCATTCCAACAAAGAACCGAGACAACGGAGTGTGTGAAAACGGCACTGGGCGGAACCAAAGATTATTCATCCCATCAACATAAAATAGAAACCGAGTCAAAGATGTAACCGTTCAGTGAATTGCTGCAACACTGAATAATACTATTTACAAGACTTTGTCCTCAAACAGATTCTTTGATCTTCAGGAACATTGTAGAATTTGTTGTCTTCAGATGAGATCAAACAGCTTGTAGAATTCTCCCAGCCTTTCTATTGCTTCAATTAAAAGGTGTAGTTGGATTGAAAGGACAGTTTTCTAACATCCATCAAAAATAAAATCCTAGTGCAAATAATAATAATCCAGTATAGATGAATTTAAACACTGTGCAATAATTTTTAATAAGCACTAATTTAATTGTTCAATGGAATGAATAAATCTCAATTATTTAATATTAAGCAATTTAAAACTGAAAAACATCAGCAAAATTTTGTCGTAGAACGCAAATGTTAAGAATTTGATACTTACATAGCAAAGGATTTGGAAAACTTTAGGTGCAAGAATTTTTCGATAGCTTTAGCGTGCTTCGACGATATGCATTTAACTTGTTTGTTAGTACGTATATTTATCTTCACAATTTAGTGGTATTTCCAGATAGCTCCTATATCATAGCCTATATCATCGTCTGTGATATTATTGATTCGGAATGATAGACGATTATTAAACTCATTTTTACACTTTCAGTATATTGAACACTTGCTGCCACGATAAAACTGATCAGTCATTAATGCCTTAATCAAGTGTTTTTCAATCTATTCAAAAAGTTGCTATGTGATAATATTAATCCGGAATGAACGTTATTTCTCCTTAATTTTTCGTTTTATTCATTGCCAAGAAAATTCAATAAGCTTTTGAAATTTATTTATTAAAAAGTTTATTTATCTTTTCTTACCAGTGCTTTTCCATACTTTTCATTTTTCTGATAACCAAGAAGTTATAAATACCGAAACTTTTGTTTGTTTTATGCAATTATTTTTCTTCAGGTATTTTACTACTACTGTACTTTCCCCTCTTGTCCACATTTTATGATTAATTGTGCACCCCAAACACTTCCCATTGTCGTCTATTAATTAATAACGGTTCTTATGCCATCTCTTAATTGCCTGAATTTAGAATTATTTGTTTTTTATGATACTGAATTTCAGCTTGATTTTAGTTATACTGAGTTATTATTACTTGTTTTTAGCTTATTTAATGTGTATTTTTTGTTCACTGGCAGCTTTTTAAATTATTTTGTTACTGACGCAGAATAATCAATTAT